GACACTAAAGGAACACTTCAGTATCTGCTAAATCTATGCAAAGTTTTCACAAGATGCAGTTTCACTACTGAAATAATTTCTCCAAAACAATGTTGACTGACTTTGGACTCAGAGTTTATTAATCTAATCCTCTAACCAGTATCTCTTCTCCCATTTCACTTTCCAGTTTGACTTGTGAGCGTTTTTTTTTTTTCTCCCCTTTCTCTTATTTATTTAAAATATTTAAGGCCTGAAGAGGACGCAGCACACGAATGAACACATAGATAAGTAAGAACAGGCCTGTTTCTTATCTAGCCTGCACACTTCAGTAGGGACAGAGTCTTATATTCAATTTCTCCAGCCACCACAACTTGAAGGTTATAGAATATTCTATTTCAGGACACTTTTAAAAACGAGGCGCCCGTTTTCAAAGTACTGCAGAGAGTTATTTTGATTTCTGCCACAGGATGAATCACTCGTCCTGAATGCAAACACCAGCAAAGAATGCGTTAGAGGATCCGCCATCATATTAAAAATTAAATCCGCCTGCATTTCATAATGGGCTTTCCTTTTTAAAGCACGGTTTCAGCTTCTCACCATGGAAATCGCGCTCTGATGGCCGTTCTTTATGGTTAACACTGAGGCATTGGCTGAGGTCAGAACCCCACTTCTCTGAACAGGGAACCACAAATGTCACTAACGCGTGGTACGCTTGGCAAATAATATATTTCTTCCCAACCTCCTGTGTCTTCAGTTTGCCTAAGATCATGCCTGTGGTAAGCTGGAAAGAGAGTTTATTTTTCAGGGTCTTCTTCCTTCCTTTGGTGGGACCAGCGGGAGGCATGCAATTTACAATGAATTCAAAAGTACACCTCTTGTGATTTTTGTTGCTGTCTTTATTTTAACCTCCAAGAAGAGAGAGATTTAACTCAGTCTTCACCCCAGGCTAAGCTAATACTTAGGTCATGTCTGAGCTCTCTGGGGAACCCCTGCTTTATACCATCCGAGGGGCAATGGTGTCTTTTCACGTGGAGTTGCACAGCTGTCCAGCCATATGGGCCCCAAACAGCCCCGTCAATCGGATTTGGGGAGGTTTTACAATGTAATTTCTTAACGTGTTAGTATTTGGGGTGAGTTTGATCAGGAGAACAGACAGCTCTTAAGCCCAAGGGTTTAGGTTTTAAGAAGCCATCACAAATGTCCCAGCATCTGATGAGACTGTTTAAAAACAGATATGAAATCTGTGACTGGGGGAGGGGAAAGGATTCGTGAGCCCCTCGTTGGAGAAAGCCCCAGGGATATGCTCTAACTATTATTTCAGCATCAGCTGCTTTTTCTTTCTTTTTTTCTTCTCTTTCCTTTTCTTTTTAAAACCAGGGCTCACCGTTTAAGGCGTTCCCACTCAGGCCTGCAGAGCCTGTTACAAAACCATCTCTCTGCTCCCCTCCCCCCATGCCGCAAGATGAGAGAGCAAATATCCTGCATTGCAGCAACGGGCTCAGAAGGACCGCGCTGAAACCGTTCTCAAGTAAAACCAGGCCTTTAAGAAAGCCAAGGGAAGGGCAAAAGCAGTGTGTCCCGCTGCCCTTCAGTCAGGGTTACCTGGAACTCGGCCCCCATCCCTCCACGTTGCAGGGCTTCAGGAACTGCTTGCTTAAAGGAATTCTTAGTAAATAGGAAACACATAGTCCTGAATCTAAAACCCTCATCAAAATGGTGGAAGTCTTGAGCCAAGCGACCGCCAAGATAGTTTTTCCACCACGAAAATATTTTAGTTTGCGGGCAACGTTATCAGAATGGTAAGTTTCCCCGGAGAGACAACCCAGATGACGGCTCTTTCCCACAAACTACAGTCTTCGGAAATTAGAAATCTACTACAGGAGTGTTTTATATTCTTTTCCGCTCCTCTCTCTGTCTCTTTCTCTCCATGTCTGCGTCTCTCTCGATTTTAAGCAAACTTTCCGCTTTTTAGAATTTACAAAAACTGCTTATTTTTATGCTTCTCGTGGTACATGTTAGAGGCAAAAAGCCAGTGCTAAGAGGTTGTGCTATTCTTCTTTTAATGGGGGCAAATACCCAATAGTTGGCAAGAACCGAAATGGCCTGGAAGCGAACTGGGCAGAGCCCAGGGTCACCACGCATTGGGACAGTGCCCGCGCGGTGGGCGCGCATCTGCCGCGACCCCGCAGGACCGCTCCCGGCCGCCGCGCGCGGGCCATCTGATTTAAGGAGCTGCTTTTAGCTGTCAGGGGCTTGTTCTTGCTACCCATCGCTCGTTGCTCTGAATCCAGCGCTGCCCGAGGGACACTTAAGATTTTTCTTTTCTTTTAAAGTCATCAAAGAAGAAAAGCCGGAGTAGGGGAAGCAGATGGGACCTGCGTGTGCGGACATCGCCGGGGTGAGGGTTGGCTCCCGCGGCTGCTGAACCGGCTCCCGGGAAAAGACCGAAGTTTCCTCCTTGCTGGCGCTGGGTTTCTTGTTGGGGGTCGGGGTGGGGGTGTCTTTGGGTTTTGTTCTCACGGGCAGATTCATTCTGAGCCCTTCCTTAAGGCCAAGCTAACCCAGCGCTCCCGAAAAACACTCCACACGGGCACAGCAGCACAACAAAAGGCGCCTCCCGAAGTGAGTCTAAACGTTCGCGGGACGGGTGGCGGCCGGACGTGGGGACGCACTTCTGCGCGCTCTAATCTCGGGCGTCCATCTGGCCCCGGCGGCGCGGGCTGGCGGGCTGGCTGGAGGGGGCCGCGGGCCGCGAAGCGGGGGGAGCCAGGAGGGGCGCGCGCACGTACCCAGAAGCGCGGACACGCGCGCCCGCTCTCCTTCACGTTCACCTTGACTGCAGGGGGGCGGGGATGGGACTCCCTCCCCCCGGATGACAACCCCTCTCCCCACCCCCGCCGCTGTCCTGCCCTGACGCCGGCTCCGGCTGCGGGGAGGGGGGAGGCGCGAAGGCGCTGCGGTCGCTGCAGCCGCGGGACAGCCGCGCGGTCTCCGCAGTGATGTCAACCGCATCCTCCTTAGGGCCCCCCCCCCCCCCCCAAGCACCCCGCCCCGGGCCTCGCCCGCGCCGCGGCCGGCGGAAACCCTCGTCCCGCGACCCCTGCCTGGGATTAGAAGCAGAGGGCGTGCGGTGCCCTGAGCCCCCTACTCCATTTGCCGAAGCTAGAGAGACAGGGGGTGGACCAGCCGCGGGGCGGCGGCCACCGGGGCGGAGGACGGGGAGCCGAGCTGGGGGCCGGGGGTAGGACAGCTGCCGGTCCCGGAACCCGTGCGGCCGGGGTTACGTGAAGGAGGCGAAGGGCACGGCCCACTGCAGGTGTCGCGCGTGTGGGCACGGCGAAAGCGCCTCCCTTCTCCCAGCATAGAAACGGATAAACGGAAGCGCGTGTGAATGTGGGGGTGCGAATCGCCACCTCCCGACTTGGCTTTCCCGCTCTTCCGAGCGCTCCCACTTCTCACTTTCCCCAAATCCGCATTTTCCTTGGCACAGCTCTCCCCAAGCAAGGAGGAGAGGGAGGTACCCGGGGGCAGTGAGAATGACGTGTGCTGGTGCAGAGAGGGGGTGGGGGGCTGCGGGCCCGGCTCTGTGGACCGGCTCCTAATCCTCTTGTTTTCGGTACAGTCAGCAGATGTGGCTTCTTTTAGCTGAATAATCCGTTAAAGGAATAACAATTTTTAAAAAGGGGATCGACCTCACCCAAAGAGGACGGCGAGCGAGATTAGGGCTTGGTAAGGATAAATGAAAAGGTTCCAAATTCTCTCTCCCTCTCTGCCTTCCTCTCTCCCCTCCTCCCCCTCCGTCCTCCTCCCTCCCCTCCCCCCTCTCCTTCCCCATCCCCTGCAATCCGCGCTCGACGCGAGTTCACGCGGAGGGCTGGATTTCCAGGCTCAACCGCAACTTGCGCTGCGCGTTATTATTATTCATCTGAGGGTGCTGCCGCCGCAACCTTTGCCTCCTGCTCCGCTCGCCTCTCCTTCCCCCCGGCCGCCGCCTCCGCCAGCAGTGCAGACCTTTCTGCACGCATGCTCTGGCTCACCAAAGGGAGATTCTGAATTTTTTTTTATCCTGCTCATGATCATCACCATGATGCTTCTTATCATGGTTATCATTTCCTTCTGCCAGGGAGAGCGACCACCAGCGCCTTCTCTCCGCCCGCCCCGTTCCCCAGCGAAGGCAGCCACTAGGGCCGGGCCCTGGCGGCCGCTCCCTACATGCGGACATCCTTCGCCTCTCCGCATCCCTCCTTCATTCATGTGCATGTACATTTTTCTTGATGCCTTTTTATTCCAGTAGATCTACTGCCTTTCGTTGGAACGCTGCGGACTGAGACCAGTCCCTCAAGAAGAACAAAAAGACGAAGACCTGAGTGGACACCCCCCCCGCCCCCCACCCCGGACAAAGCACTTTGGGCTCGGCGAGAAGGGACGCGCCGGAGCGCTGGTTCGGGAATACGAGTGATCTCCTGTCCGCCGGGCGTGCGGACCTCCGAGGGGACTCGAATTTTATTTAGCCTCTTGGTATGATTGAACAGTGTCATTGTTGGGAACGGGTTCCATTTGCTGGTTTGTCTGGGTACGGGAGCGGAACTGTGGGAGATCGGATAGACTTAACTTGGCTTTCCTGCTCCCTGCCTCACCCTCTCGAGATCTGGGCGTTGAAGAGGAGACTGTGGAACAGGAGGCTTAGCAGAGTCGAAGCCAGAGATGAAGCCGAAGGGCTGAGGGGATAGTGTGAGTGGGGATGGGCTAGGTGGAGGAGGGTTGTGAAAAGAAGGGGTCTGTTTGAACCCCTCTCTGGGTTCACAGGATGAGTTTTGCTGGGGATGAGAATACTGGTGTCTGTTGATAGGAGATCTGAGAAATTGATGGAAAATTGGTATGTCCATGTACACACTTAAGGAAGAGAGAGGTAGAGGAGGGTATAGAGGGAAAGGCTGAAAATAATGTCATATTATCCCTTTGGTTTTAGGGACTCTCATCCTCTGATCCTCCCCCCCCCCTTTTTTTTTTGGCCCAGGGATCCAGCGCATTAGACAAGAGTGACCTTTTAAATCTGTGCCCACCCTTCACCTGGTAAAGCCCGTTGACAGTTTGGGGTGGGGTGGGGTGGGGTGGGGAGAGTGGTAGGGGTGTTTAGAAGACATATATTCTCTCTCCCCTTCGCTCGCTCTCTGCCTCCTCCCTCCCTTCTTCCCTCCCCCCCCTCCCCTGCGTCTACTCCTCCCTCGCTGTGCCCCCCCCCACTCTTTCTCTTCCTCCCTCCCACCTCCCTCGCTCCCTCCCTCCCTGCTGCATTTTGCATGAGCTATCTAGGTCATTAGCATTTTAGCGTATGCAAGACTTGACAAAGCTGTTGAGAGGCCAGATGGGCCTCGGTCTTATGGGTGGGTTTTTTTTTTCCTCTTTTTTTTTTTTTTCCTTTTCCTTTTTCCCCTCCACCACTTGGGACCTGAGCGAGAGGACTGCAGCAACCGAGTTCTGGAAGGCTGATTCCCCAGATTCTGGCCCCGGACCCCGGCAGCTCGCCCCTGCGGCACGCCCGGCCGGATTGCGCCTGGACTCAGCAAGCTAGGTAAAGGCGGTAGCGGAGCGCCTGCTGCCCTGCGGGTTCCTTCCCCTCGTCTTCCCCCTCCCGGCCCCCCTCAGTTTCCTGGGCAAAGCTGAGGGCGAAGTGGGTGGGTAGGATTTGCTGCGTTAAGGCGAGGTGGGGTTGGTGGGTTGCTTTTTTTTTTTTTTTTCATTGTCTGGGGCTACAGGGGAGGCGAGGTGCGGGGAAGGGGCGCGGGAAATCGGGTAATTAAAGCGGGGGGAGGCACCCCTCCGTCTCCCACTTCCACCCACACCCCTCAACCTACCACTCCCTCCGCTTTGCAGGAAAAAGCCTGGATTCGAAAGGATGGGGGAGAACAAAGAGGCTTTGCAAGACGTCGCTGTTATCTCATTGTCTGTGTGACTGGGGAGCTGCGGTAGAGAGGATGCTGTGGTCCTTTCCTCCCGGCGCTCCCCCACCCCCACGCCTTTCCCCGCTGTCAGTGCGCACGCACGCGCGCCGCTTTTTACTTGTTTTTCCCGTTTTCTCATTCCATCTTCTCCCCAACCGCCCCCTGCTTTCTTCCACCTTTCCTTCCTTCCTCCTCTCCTTCCTCAGGAGAAAGGCCTCTCTCTCCGTGTTCACAGCGGACCTTGATTTAAATGTCCATACAATTAAGGCACGCGGTGAATGCCAAGAATGGGGCTGGCTGAGCACCCGTCGGTCCGCGAGGGCCCTGCGAGGAAGGAGCCACAGAGCCCAGTCGTCCTCCGCAGAGCTCCGCGCCGCGGCTTCGGGAGCGGGTGGGGGTGGACGGGGGGCGGGGGTCGCGGGCTCGCGCCGGCTGGGCTGCCCCAACCGAAGCCTTTGGGGTGGGGAGGTGTGTAGCTTGTGACAGACAGGGGCTTAGAGATGCAAACAAACTCAGAGAAACAGAAGCTGATTCTGTGACGGAAACACAGATCTGTGCAAGCACAGATGGGGGCGGGAGGATGCTGTGAGCGCATTGCGGAGTGCTTCCGTGTGCAGATTTTTCTCTGGGCTCCGGGTGCATTGTATGCGGGTCGACACCTTCCTTCGCGGCTGCGTTTTTGCTCTGGTTTTAGCTTTTGGTTTACCCTCTTTTAACAAATAACCGGGCATCCAGAAGACTGGCAGATTGTGCCAGGGCTGGGGCTGCAGATATATTGGGGTCTGCTTGCGCTTAGGGTGGGGACACGGGAGCCCGCTGGAAGGGAGTAGGGAAGGGATTTGTCCCCCTTTGCTGTGAAGCTGTATTACAGGCTTAAGGAAGTCATTGAGATACAGAGGGGGAAAGCATCAAACTCCTGGACCATTCTCAAGCTCTGTCAGAGCCGAAAGTCTGGCCAGGACTCTGGGGAGCCTCTCACTTCCTCTTTGCGGCTGTGATTGCAGTTGTAGGCAGAGATCTGGGAGATGATGAGGGGGAGAGGCGCAGGAACCTACCTAGACCCAAGGAGGGAGGGTTCATGCCTTTTAAACATCTGAACAGAAGGAAAACCAGAATGTGTACAGGAGGGGGTCTGAGGAAAGCTTATTTTTGAAAGAGACCATTCAGGGAATGCAAAGGGTTAACCTGCCCTTCTCCTGAAGAACCTGCTACCCAAATCAGCCTGTCTCTACATCAACAGACCTAGAGCAGCAGTTGGTCCTACGGATCCCCCTGCTCTCCACAGGCACAGCCCCATCCCACCTCCAGCTCTGTGTTAACCACCTCCAGCTCTGTGTTAACTGCCTCCACCCCCACCTTGAGCTCCAGAGGATGGTGGAGACCTAAACTCATTAATTTCCAGGTGGAGAACATGGAGGCAGGGCAGGTCCCTGCAGAGAAAGGAGGCCAAGAACTGGATCTTCCTACCCACAAAGGCTGCTCTGATCATCCCTTTCTTTCCCCAGCCCTGGGCAGAGGCCTGTCTCTACAAGGCCAAGGCCATAGGGATGCTGAGGATTGTATTTGATTCCTGACACAGTAAACAAAGCCTAAAAGAGTCTGTCTACTGAAACTTGCTGAGGAGCTCTTTCATCTCCAAAGCCTCACCCTCTCCCACTCAGTCAGTTAGTATTCATGGACCCCTAGCCTTATTTCCTCCTGTATATTTTTTTAGTACCTACTATGTGCCAATCATTGTGTAATTGTTGTATCTTAGATTCTTCCTTTGCCCCCCTAAGGGAGTGTCTGGAGTCAGGTGAGATTAAGTTCACTGCACCCCATCTAGACACTTCCAGAACCTTCTCTGGGTCTGACAGAAATGCACCAGAACCTGCTCACCCCTGCAGAGAGAAGACTGCAGTCCACATCATGTAAACTGCAAGCACAGTGCTGTCCTTCAGATCCCAGAAGGCCAGCCTGGCTGGTGGACAGAAGAGAAAGCAGCTTCTCTAGCCCCTGGGCCTTAGCCAGTGTTGTTTTAAGAGGCACCCGCAGCCACCGCCTTCAAAATAGTCCTCCCTCTAAACAGTCCCTCTTTGACTCTCCTCTCCTTCCTCTGAGGGCTGTTCAGACAGTTCTTTGAGGCTGATCTAAGCCTCTGATGACCAACCCTCGACCCCACAGTTGTTCACATAAATGAGCTTTATCTCCCTAATTGCTTCCCTGTAATTCCATCAGATGTGGCCGTGCCCTCTGCTGATGTGCCTGCTGCCAGCATCTCCAGACGCCTTTCCCAAGTAATGTCCCTCTAAGGTGGAAACCTAACACGCTTCTCCCTGAGAGTTTAAACCGCAGGCACCATGGACCAGGCCTTCCGGCTTCCTGCTGCCGATCATTAGGAGGGAGGGGCATGCTTTATTTTATTACTTATGTAAACTCTTGTTCCAGAAAGCTCTTATGTGTGGGGGAGTGTTCTGGGTTTGTTGGGGCTTTTCCGGCATTCACTAGGTCTCATTATGAAATGTGTTTGTATGAAGGGGGCTTTAATGGCTGAAATGGCAGCGATGAAGACACCATTCTGCCCCCTGGGTAATTTCAAGGCCCCTTTTGTGTGCCCCAGATAGAGGTGTGGGGTAAAGGTCAGTCCTGGCATCTTCCTTTCGGCTCTGTTAGAGGCTTGCTTATGCCTGGCAATACCTAGGTAAGAAACCTAACTGTTTCTGCTCTTTCAAGGCATTTTTTTTTTAAAGACTTTATTGAATTTGTTGGAATACTGCTTTTGTTTTGTTTTGGTTTTTTGGCTGGGAGGCATATGGGATCTTGGCTCCCCACCGGGGATGGAACCTACACCCCCTGTATTGGAAAGTGAAGTTTTCTTTTAACTCTCCACATCATCTTCACCCCTACCTATTTGAAGCCCCTCTAATTACGACCTATGGCTTAAATGAAAGAAAAACTATTATTTTTTTAAAATGTGGGACGTGTTTGAGGCAGTTTGCCGACTGAATATGGTCTGAAGACCCATGCCATCGTTCAAACACACCACCATCATTATGGTCCTCATCCTGATGGCAGCTCAAAGGTTTCTCAAGGAGTCAGCGTCAGATACTTTAAGATGGATTTAGAAATGTATCAAAGGAAAAATCGGTAACATTCTTATTTCCCCTGCCAGAGACCCTCCAGGCTCAGAACTCTTAAGCTGAAAAGCAACTGAACTTTTAACAAAGGCAAAGGTAAATTCCAACTATCATCACTACATTCCTGTTGCCCACAGGGTGGGGAGAAGGGACAGTTTTTGTGGGCTCATGAGGAGCCTTAGCCAGAGAAATAAATATTTGGGAGTAGGGGTAATTTCTCAGCAGGCATATGCTCATATACACATATAGAGATTTTTCTCACACAGTCATATCCATTGCTAGTATTTATAGGAAAGTATTGAATCACACAAACACACACACGCAAAATCCATCCACCTATCCTATCTCTGCAGAGAAATAACTTTCTCTTTCCTTCTACTGAACTTACATAATATCCCCACCCCTTGTTCCAACCTTAGAAGAGCGTCCTCCGGGGGCAGCTGTGAAGCCTTCTTCCTAGGACAGATGGAGCCACCCTTCCTCAGATACTCTGTGGGTGGGTTTAGTGAGTCAGGGTCTGAGGGATGTGGTGGTGGCTTGTGTTTGTGGCTTGCCTGGGTGATTCACGGTGCTGAGTATGTCAACAATTATGACAATTTTAATACCTAATAAAGATGTTTTCTTCCACGTCCCATCTACAATTCTCTTATTTGGGTGTTTTTGCCAAGTCTTATCAATTTGACTTCAGTTTAAATATATATAAAAAATACATAATTGCATCTCCCATATAGGCATAGAAGAAGAAAAAGACTTTAAACGGGATGCATTCCTGTCCACCTGTGCTGCTATGAGCCACTGTATGCGGGTCTGCTGGAGGCCTGGAGAGAACTGCGCCAAATTTAGATGGCCTCAAAAAAAAAAAAAAAAGATCAGACTTTATTGAGAGCAAGGAATGTTCCAGGGGTCAGAAATGAAGTGTCAGCAACTCTCAATAGATTCACCTTTTCATTTTCTAATCCTTCCATTTGTCTTAAAATGGAAATGTTACCCCCCTAAATGAGGACCTGGGTCAGGGCTGCGTAAACCCAAAAAATTAAACCTTGTGGATCACTAGGGACTTTCTCCAAATTAAAGGGGGGAGAGAGGTTTATTTGAAACTAAAATCCAATCTATTTCTTAGACATACACAAATAAAGAGACCTAGGAGGCTGGAGGTTCCATTTGCTGCTTCGTGCCACGTTCTTACTGTTCAGGGTTAGTCCCTCTCCAAGAGCTGCAGGCTAGAGGTGGCGCCTGCTAGGCTCACAGTGACCCTCTTGCCAACACGTTTGGCTTTTTCTGTTCATGCCCTGAGACCCCTAAATTGAGCCAGGCGAAGATGAACAGAGTTGCTTTCCTTTTTTGTTCCTGTTTTCCTGACTTTTTTTTCTCCCTTGCTCAAATCAAGTTACTTGGAGACCCAAAGACCTAGGTCCACACTCATTTCCTGAAGCTTCGGGACTGATCCGGGTAGACGCGGAGGGGGCAGAGCAAGCACCCTCTCCCCACGGCTCCCAGTGGGACAGTCCCCGGAGAGGCTACTTTTCCGCGCACCTCTGCTCTCTATTTCACAGACGGACACACAGTGGTCAACAGAGGCGATTACAGAGTCCGGACAGGAAGGGAGGGCGGGGATACACCTTCAGATTCGAAGACGGCACAAATGGAAGGCCTGGGCAGATAGCCTGTCCTCCCAGCTCCCCAGCGCTTCCCGGCCTGGCCTTTGCGCTGGGACGGCAGGGTGCGGTCCCCTCGATCCCTCTCCCCTCATCCTCTTCCGGGCCTCCTCCTCGTCCACCCCGGGCCCTGTGGCGTCCACCAGCTCATCCTTCACTCTAGAAAGCCTCGGACTGAACCAGAAAGGGGCTACCTGGCAACAGGCTGGGAGAGGACCCTACCTGAAAGCCCTTCTTAGCCATCCCTTTAGCTTCCCACCAGCCGAGTGCAACGGTTAAAGTCCTTGGCAAGCGGTGGTTTTGGGGTGGAATCCTCCGGACCCCCCTTTAAGCCCACCCAGCCTCCTTCATCCTCTCCCCAGGGCACAGGCTTCTTAGGGCCCAGCGATCCACCACCCCCAGCGACACGCCCTGGCCCTCCCCAAACACCCTCCTTCCCCCACCCCCACAACCCTCTCTAAAGAAGCCGAAACAGCAGCAGAACTCTCAGCACAGAAGAAAAAGATACATTTCTCTTACAGCCTTCCTGCCAGTTCCAGGTCTACGCCAGAAGGTTGCCAGCGGGCTGAGAAGT